GGGGTGAACATCACACTGCTCAACACGCGGGCTGCGGAGGTGGGGTGCTGACCTCCCTCCCCTCCCATTTAGGGCTCCAGCCGGGCCTGCGCGGGGCCCACGCACATCCCTTCTCCCTGCAGGCAGGGACAACGCCCTCGCAAGTGGAAGGGAATTTTAAGAACTCCCATTAAATTTCTTTCCACCCACCTCCTTCCCACGGACTTCCCGCCTTCCTCGCGGTGATAGAGTCCAGGCCGGCGGCCGAACCCCACCGCCCCCTCCCGGCCACGCCAAGGGCCCAGCGCACGCTGGCCGGTCCCCCACCGCCGGCTCCCCTGCCCTCCCCTGCCGCTCCCACATCCTCTCTCCCCAGGGAGGAGGTCCGGCCCTGGTCTTGAATGTTGCTGCTCTGCGAGGATGTCAGAAATCTGGCTGGAGGTCCTGGCGGCTTCCCTCGCCCTTGCCCCTGCCCACACCAGCATTCCGTCACCTCGGGAACATCTGGCTTTGCGCGCGAGGCCGGGCGCGGGCGGGCTGTCTGTCCAGGCACCGCATCCTCTAGACTGAACGCCCGGGCACAGGAAGACCGCAGCCCACGGCATCTGCTTGAACCTGGGGTGTGGCCACGGGAGGCGTCCCTGCCCCCCCGCGCCCACCTCGTCCTATCACCCAGCCGCGCGAGATTCTGATCGAATCGGACAGTCGGGCCGCCCTTTATCTCAGGCGCTGGGGCTGCTGGGCTGTGAGGTGATCGCCAGCCTGTGCCTGCAGGTTGGATGCTCACCAGTGCTGATCCCAGAATCACCTGAGGTGCCCCACGAAGGCTCCGCAGGAAAGGTCTTCTCTAACTGGTACAGGGATCCTTGTGCAGGAGGACCGACCCCACAGGCAGGGCACCCCCAGCCTCCAGGAGCGGAGGGCACCGCGGTGGGGGCCCTGCCGGGGTGCCGTGCGCTCGGTCCTTGAGAGTCCAGAGGTGGGGGCCTGGGGGTGCTCTGCGCTGGGTCCTGAGAGTCCAGAGGTGGGGGCCTGGGGGTGCTGTGCGCTGGGTCCTGAGAGTCCAGGCGTGGGGGGCGCCCCAGGGCCTGGATGGCTCCTGTCGCCCGGCTGAGTGACCAGCTGCCCTGGCACAGGCCCACAGAGCAGGCCCCGGGCACTGAGTGGGCGTGACCACGGTCCCTGAGGGGAGGCCTGAGCTTCTGCTGACGGGAGCAAGTCGCCAGGGGCAGGAAGGGCCAGAGATCAGATTCAAAGCCAGACCGGGCCTGCCCCTGGGCCACATAGGAACGGGGTGGGGAGCATCTCAGGTCGTGTCCCCAAGAGTCCCTCGGGGCTCTTTCTGAGTCTGCCTTGCCTTAGGGGCACCGCCAGTCGACACCGAGGAGAAACAAAGGCCCAGAAACCACTGACCCAGGAATGCCTCCCCTCCCTGCCCTCATCCAGGATTTCTGCTCCCAGGTGGGGTGGGGGCAGGGGAAGGTTTAGGGGCAGGGGGGAGAGACGGAGAAGATGGGGTGGCATGGGGAGTGCACTCCCAAAGGCATCTGTCCCCGGGCACGGGGCTACCCTCCATGGGGACCCCACACAAAACCTTCCCTGTGGACTGTCTGTCCCCAAAGGCCCCGGAAAGGGGTGAGAAATCTGGGGGCCCCTCCTGTGGATAAGGGATGAAAAGAGGGATCTAGCAGCCCTTTGGGGATGTCGGCTCTCCCAGCGCCAGCAGCTTGTGCAGGAGACGTCACGACTGCACACACGTGCGTGACAGCCACCTACGTGCACGTGCACACGTGCATCTGCACAGAGACGCGCCCACACGGGCTGTCGTGTGTGTGCCTCAGGACACGCGTGTGCACACCACGTACGTGCCCACGTGCACGCACACACACCCTCTTCGGAACGTCACAGCTCCCAGAACGCAAACCTTTTCGACCCAGGGCCCCCACGCACCCACCCCTTCCTCCCCACCTTCCTGCCTCCTTCCCACGCTGATTTACCGCCCCCAAGACGGTTCCCTGCAGAGCCTCAAGAAGCCCAGACTCCCCACATTTCCTCATGGGTTTCACTTCCTTGCCAGAAGAGTTCAAAGTTGGGTCAGATGCTCCCCTTTGCACTCGGAGCTTCCTTTCCCCAGCCCCCTGCCAAGCGGGGTCCAGGGTGTCCCTTCAGGGGAAGGCAGAAGGGAGAGGGTCCCAGAGAGCTGAGGGCGGGGGACTGGCGCGCCCTGCCAGCTGCCGTGTGAACCTTGCACGTCCGGGCGGCAGAGTTCTGTTCCCACGTGCAAGGCGCTCCTGGGCAGGGGGTCAGCCGTGTGGGCAGGGAAGGGCTTGGGAGGGCGGTCTGTCCGTGAGTCAGTCAGCAAACATGTCTGGAGCTCCTTGTGTTGGCCCAGGCTGGACCCTGGGCACGGAGGTGGACAGGCCAGCGTGGCCGTGACTGCAGGAGGCATCCGATCTCTCTGCTTCCCTGGGCTCTGCTCTTCCCACACTTGGCCTCTCCTGAGCTGGTTGGCGCCCCGAGGGCAGGCTCTGAGTCCACCTCCGCCCTCCTGTCCCTGGACCCCAGTGAACTCCGGCCCCCAGGAAGCCTCGGCCAGCGCTCCTGCGCCTTCCCGAAGGGAAACGTCTTCCAGGGGAAAGTCCTCAGGTGGAGAAGCCTAGAGGGTCGCCCCCCGGCTGCAGGCAGCTCGGATTTTGTGCATAAACTTGGTCCAACACGATCTAGGGTCCAGTCCAAGCTCAGCCACCACCTCGCTCGAACAGTGGTTGTTTTTTAACTAATAGCCTCTCTTCTTAGAAAGCAGCGCGCATCTATTGGTGAGAGTTCACGAAAATGGGGACACCCGGGTGGACCGACGGCCTGCGCGTTCAGAGGTGGGTGCTGTCCACTTTCAAGCCTCTGTCCATCCGCAAACCACTAGCTATAGTATCCCCCCCTTCCCCCTTCCTCCTTCCCCCTTCTCCCCTCCCCCCCCCAACTGATCCTTCTGCAGAACCTGATGGTTTGTTTGCCATTGGAAACAAGGAGCTAATATCTGCTTGTGAGTGAGTTGTGACCCGCAGGCTTTTCCTTCAATCACATTGTAGGCGTCGGAACGGCTGGGTCTCCTGTCTCCTTTGCTGGGTTTGTGCAGTGAGACTGGCCCACTCCGTAAGGCGGGGGGGGGGGGGGGGGGGGGGGGGGGGGGGTTTTTTTTTTTTCCCCCCCCCCCCCCCCCCCCGTGCTGGGAGAGCGGAATTTCCACAGTGTGGGGCTGTGGACGCCCTGGTGAGTGGCACAGCCAGGAGCCCGGACGGGGACGGTGGGCTGAGTCCACGTGTCCCCTCTCCGTCCCCCCGAGCCCCACTGAGATGGCAGAAAGGTGACCGACATAACCAGCCCCTGGCCAGGCTGGAAACATCCCCCCCTCCGCCTCCTGCCACGCCAGGATGGCAAGGAATTTCTGCCAGCAAGAGGGCCTACTAGCAGCTGGGAAGAGAAGCCGTAGAAGGTGGCCAGCCAACGGTGCCGGAAGCGGCCTTTCCGTGAGACCCAGGAGCCCCCGGAGACCTCGCACCCGGGGAGGCCACCCGGGGGACACAGGAGCTGCAGTCGCTGTTAGACCAACACGCTGGACTGTGGCGCTGAGTGAGGCAGGCTGGTGTGGGGCTGCGGCCCAGGGCCCGAACCCGGGGAGGCGGGACCGGTAGGGAGAGCCCGGGACCCGAGTCTCACCGAATGGGGGGGCTGCCTCCTGGTGACGCCTCCGCCCTCCCTCCCCCCGGGGCCCAGCCATCCTGCATTTACATAGTGTTTCAACCTGGACGTGCATGTCTGCAGGGGACCGCTGTATTTTTACAAGGTCATAAACGTCCCTCAGATTTGCTTACGAATACAAAGCCATACAGAAAACAATCGGGCTGTGGGGACATGTGGGTGTCAGGGAGCCAGCTTGGCTCAGTCCCTGGCCAAGTGACTCACACATAGCAGCGCCGGACCACCCGGAATCGGGTCTCCGTCACAGAGGTGACAGCTTCCTGCCTGCCCCTGGGACGGCGTGTGAGGGGCGAGCTTGGAGGGGGAGCCCGTGGAGCTGGCCTGTGCTCTGTCCCCCAGAACCCGGAGGCTGGCCTGGGGTTCCGGGCTTGCTCCTGCTGCCCGTTCCTTCTCTCTCGCTTGGAAATATTGTCAGCAAGAAAAGTTTCTGCATTCGCGTGCGTGTGTCATGAATAGGAGAAGCCGTCGAGCTGGGGAGGGAGAAATGTCTGAAATCCCACCATTTGTGGGCTTACGTTTGGGTCCTCGTGGCCGACTTTGCCCGGAGCGCATTGGACCCAGAGCTTCAGCGCCGAGTCAACCCGACATGTCCGGAGTCCAGCACCGGGAGGCCAGAGGGTCAGGGGACGCACACCGCATCCCTGTCCAGCCGGCTGTCCGGTTCCTCAGCACGAGCTCGGCTTCTGGCCCGGACGGCGCTCACAGGCGCCCCCTTCTGTCCCCAGAGGAGCTGGAGCCGCTCCCCAGAGCCCTGCGGGGGGGGGGGGGGGGGGCTTTGTGAGCAGGCCGCCTGAGGTCGGACAGGGCCAAGGGTCCTAGAGACTTTTGTCCCCTTTTGACTTGGCCATGACACTGTCATGGCCAGGATCCGTCCACGAGGCATCAGACGTCTTAACCCGCCGGCCCTCCGTCACAGCCCGTTTGATAAACACCTGTCTGGAACGTGGTGAGTCACAGTCAAACCCATGCCAGAAGTCACACCAGGTGCGCCCGAGCTGCCTTTCAGTGACGAACACCCACCGTGGGCGAGGGTGCGGGTGAGGAAATCCGTCCAGATCACTGCCCACTGATGGAGCCTCGTGGAAACGCTGCCCCGCATTTCTTTTTGTATTTTTTTTAATGGTTTTTAACATTTATTTATTTTAGAGAGAGAGACAGAGTGTGAGTGGGGGAGGGGCAGAGAGAGAGAGAGACAGACAGACAGAATCCGAAGCAGCCTCCAGGCTCCGAGCCGTCAGCACAGAGCCCGACGAGGGGCTCGAACCCACGAACCGTGAGATCACGACCTGAGGCGAAGTCAGACGCTCAGCCGACTGAGCCACCCGGGCGCCCCACCCTGTTCCTTCTTTTAAACCCCAGACCTAAGCACAATGAGCCAAGACCCCAAGGCCCCCGAGGATCATCCTGGAGGCTCTGGGGAAATGGGCAGAAGCTAGTTTTCCTCTTTGCTCTGACTGCTAGGAAGCTCAGAGCCCACCCCGTTCCTAGCAACTGAGCAGGGCCATTGGTGTGCATTTTGGATTCTGTTGTGACTCTTTTCCGCATCATTTCCTCTTTCTTCCTCTGCACCCCCATGTCATCCAGAGCATCCATCTTGTCGGCTGGTGGTGCAGGGACGTCTGGGGCGGCAGGTGGGACCATTGCGAGGGACCCTGGGTCTGCCTCGGGCTTTCCTCCCCCACCAGTGGGGGTGTGACCGAGTCCAGTTCCAGGACAAAGGCGTTCAGGGTCTGTGAGCACTCCCTAGGTGGAAACCGTGGGCCTCTTCCAGGTCCTTCCAAATACACCCGCCGTGTATAAAGAAGCCCCACCCTTTCCCCCAGGCGTGGGGCTCGTGGGAGCTGGATTCCTGGTTGCTCCCATCTGGGCAGAGCTCCCGTGTGCGGCGGGAAGGCCGAGTGCTTCCCTCCTCCCCAAGCCTGCACACTACCCCGTCTTCCGTGCATCGAGGGGAGCCCCACTCGTCTCTCAGCTGCTTAGGAACGGGGTCCTGCCGTGCACCCTGTGTTCCAGGGGAGGCAAGCCTCCATCACCACTGCGGTCATGACGTGCTTGTTCCCAGAGCAAAAATCAGGCCACGCTGGACAAGAGAATCCGGCCCCAGGTCCTCGGCCCTTACACTTCCGCATCACCGGGTTCCGCTTCCTCTTTCCTGGTGGCCGGCAGGGAGCTCAGGCCGTCTGGGGTGCACACAAAAGTGCCCTGCAGTTTCAAAATCACGTGTCTCCGGGCTTTGCACCCCTCTGAGACGGCCGTGTGAAAGAACATCTCTGTCCCCGGCACGGTGGCCCGGGCCCTCCCTCCTGGCCGTGGGACCAGGCTGCAGCCTCAGCCACACGGCTGTGTTTTGGTCGCAGCACCTGGGACAAAAATACGCCGTATGCCATTGCGAAGCGTCGTTATGGAAAGCTTCACGGTATTTGCTTTTTGGCGTTTTGTTTGGAAGCTGGTTTGCTCTCATCCCTGGGCAAAGCTTTGTAAACGACCATGAATTTCTTGAGATCATCCTGAGACCCCTCGTCTGCAGGCGAGACGCGGTTCGAGCTCTGTTGCTGCAGACACGCCTTCAGTGTCGCACCCGTGGGGGGCGCTATTGAGAGGAAATGTGTGCTGAACTTCAACTCCTCGGTACAAATCCATAATCCGTTGAAGCGAGGGAAACCCATGCCTCTGGTTAACTGCCGGCCATAAAATCTTGAGTTATGTTTGTGACCCACCCTCGTAATCATCCCAGGTAAATACAGCAAGTTTAACACAGAAGTGCAGCCATGGCAGTGAGAAACTTAACGATTTTCCTCCCTCGGTGGTCACACGGTGAGTCATATGACAACAAATTGAGTCAGGAGGAACTTTGCTGAATCGAGGCTTTACCCAGATAACATTAATCATGACACAGACCTGTTAACACTCTAAGACTTTCCCCAAACAGGAATTTACCGGCGGTTGTAAAAGGCAGCCAGAAAAGTCAGCCTATTGGCAAAATCGTTCTCTGTCACATTCTGGAAGTTTCCCTCCGCCCATGTTGCTCGGCGCCCCCCCACCCGACGGCAGAACCCAGGGCCTGGATCCCGGCCGGGATCGCCCTGCCCGCCTGGCCGCTGGCCGCGGCAAGGACGGGCCCCCGGCCACCCCCCGCCCCTGCTGCCCAGAGCAGACCCCTCACCTGTCAGCGACCTGGCCAAGCCACCTGCACTGCAGGGTCCCGCCGAGAGCCAAGACGGGAAAAGCGACGGGCCGGGTGGGTTGACGGCGGCCGAGCCCCAGCGCCCCGACCCCTGGCCGGGCCTTAACCGCAGGGGCCAAGCTCCCTAGGGGGCGGGGGCGGGGCAGCAGGGCAGCGGCCAGCGCCCCGATGCTGCTTCCTGTGCTTTCCACGTAAGAAAACAACATCACCTCCATCTCCATCTGTTTTCTTTTTCAGATAAAATCTATTTTAGGACCGAAGTATGCGTCCCACTCTACCATGCTCGCCTCCCCCGACGTTTGGACGTGGCCTCCGCCGTGGGTGGCTGCAGCTGCGGCCTGTCTGTCCCTGCGGCTCGCTCAGAGCCGGGCCGGGGGTCAGACCCTGGGGGCTCCTCCCGCCCTGGCAGGCCCGGAGCAGCCTCGTAAATAAAAATGTGCGAGCCCCACAGGCGGCCCGGGACTGTCCCGGGCCCCCACCCCCAGCTCCCCCCGGGCTCCGGGACGCCCTGTGTCCCGGGGCCTGGCCTCGCGAGTCCCCGGGCATGGGTTCTCCCCAGGGGCCGTGAGCACACCCCTGAGACGTGGGGCCACAGAGTGGGTGAGGGTCTCTGGTGAAACAGAATCTGTGCAGGGACACCTGGGGGGGGCTCAGTCAGTTAAGCAGCCGACTTCAGCTCAGGTCATGAGCTCACGGCTCGTGGGCTCGAGCCCCACGTCGGGCTCTGTGCTGGCAGCTCGGAGCCCGGAACCTGCTTCGGATTCTGGGTCTCCTTCTGTCTCTGCCTCTCCCCTGCTCGTGCGCTGTCTCTCTCTCTGTCAAAAATAAACAAACATTACAAAAAAATCTGTGTTACATGAAATGACTTTGTAAGTAAGACCTTCTCAACAAGATAGATGGGTCCCTAGTAATTGCAATAAGGCCCCGTAGCCCTTCCGGACTGTGATCCTCAGCAAGAGGCAGGTCAAAGCCATGGCAGACGTGCAGGCCGCGTTTGCCTCCAGCACAGACAGCCGCACGTCCTGGCCGTGCGAGGTGCTGCCCGGTTCGCCCGCCACGCGGTCCCCACCCCCAGCGTGAGCACCACCGGCCGGAGCGCTTCTCCGTGTGCAGCCAGGGCCCAGGGCAGCGGCCCCCCCACCCCCAGCCCGGGCACTGCCTACAATCCAGCTGCACTGACTTGCACGGCTTCAGGCAAATGTCACCTCGACCGTGGCGACAGGAAAGGAAAATACACAGCTAAATATATGCCGAAGGACAAAATTCCTCTGGCCGCTTTCAGCAGTGAGGACACACTCATCTTCCAGAGAGCACGTGAAGTGCCTTCCCGGGGGCCTGTGCCTGGAGGTCGTCCCCGATGGAACCGTGCGCCCCGGGAAGCGGGAGCAGGATGACGGGCCTCAGACGCCCCCTTCCCGCTGCCAGCGCCCCCGCCTTCCTATTCCTCCCCAGGACACACAGCTCCGCTTGGCCGAGCCTCGGAGAGCTGGGATCTGATTCAAGGCAGTGTGCTTGGAAACACTGGCAGGACTTGCACGACACTGGGAAAAATGAGAAAAACAACAACAACAAAGGGTTTAGACAACAAAGAACAGAGAAAAAGAGGGAACTGGCCTGAGCTACCCTCTCGATGGAACCACCAGGACCCCCGGCCCCCTCTGCGCGGACACTCGGGGCATGGGGACGCCGACACGGAAGGTCTCGGGGTTTTCAGGACGACCTCCGCGAAGCTGATCAGAGACTGTCCCCACCTCCCCACTAGCTAAGGACACCAGCGGGGTCACAGGCGGGTTTCCAGGCCCCCGTGTGTACGAGGGGGGCCGGCCCAGCCCTCGGCCGCCTCCGATCTGGTCAGCACCGTGTCGGGTCTCAGTTTCTGGTGCAGGCTGGCATTTCTCACTTTCTCAGGCTTGTGCGCACTCACGGCTCCCTGGCGTGGCCGCCACACTGGGTGAGGTCCTGCCAGGCAGGTGGCCCTCAGCAGCCCTGGAAGGCCCGCTCCCGTGGGGTGGGGACGCGAGGACGCCAGGCCACCACGCTCTTCCCTCCTCGACCCAGGAGAGTTCCATGTTCTAGGATGACACGATCAGAACTAGCTGTTTCTCCAAACAGGGGAAGGGCCAGCACAGGGCCGAACTCAGGCTGGCTCAGGGCACAGGCTGAGACATGGGGGTCTAGTGACGCCACCCTCGGGCTGCTTCTGTCTTCCCGGCTCTGCTCCGTCGCTCCCTCTGTCCCTCTGCCCGGTGCTCCCCAAAGCCTCCCAGCTCCAACACAGCCTCATGATCTCTCAGCTCAGCTTTCCCAGTGGCTGACTCAGCCCTCGGTTTCCAATTGCCAAATTCCCCACCCAGCACGTCACCGTGAGCCCGGCTATGGGGTCAGAGGGTCAGGGTTGCTGGCCAGCACGTCGGAAGGCTGTCCTCAGGACTCGGGGACCACCGTAGTCTGGAAGGGGTGTTCTGGGGTCCAGAGCCTGGAGATCCCGGATCCAGATCCACTCCCGGGGTGGCGGCCGGCAGGCCCTCAGAAACAAGTAGCCCCTCCCTTCAGCCTGAGCCCCCTTTCTCACACCTTCTATCTATCCCCAGGCTTCTCCGGGACACAGGAGTCCTCTTGCCAAATCGGAAACTCACAGAGCCCCTGCCTTCCTCCCTCCAACCACCCCCCAAGCCATTCCTTCCTTCGGGAATCACAGACAAGTATCTGCTCTATGCCCCCCAAGGTAAGACACTCTCACTGTCCTAAAGAAAGGTGCATCTCTGGGGCGCCTGGGTGGCTCTGTCGGTAGAGCGTCCGACTTCGGCTCAGGTCCTGATCTCACCATTTGGGAGTTCAAGCCCCACGTCGGGCTCTGTGCTGACAGCTCAGAGCCTGGCACCTGCCTCCAACCAGTTCTATGTCTCTCTCTCTCTCTCTCTCTCTCTGCCCCTCCCCCCTCATGCTCTGTCTTTCAAAAATAAACACTAAAAAAAAAAGAAAAAAAAGAGTTGCTTCTCAAAGAGAAATGGACTTCGCAGCTGGAGGTAAGCCTTGTGCAGAGTGTTGCACGAGCACGGCAGCTACGAGCCTCCAGTGGCACTGCGGTAACTGGTGCAGCGGCCACTAGCCACGGGTGGCTAGTGTGCCCGAGGTACGTGGCCTTTGATTCCATTCACTTTAATCAATTCGGATCGAATTTAAAAAGCCACTTGTGGCCAGAGACAAAGCAGGCCCCAGAGGACTCACTGAAAATGTCACAAAAAGGTCAGAATCAAGACATTTTTTAACACAGGATTTCAAGAATGTGAGCAGCTGTCGAGACACAGGAATGAAACTGACACCTGTTACTGGGGAATGTCACGCATGTCAATAAGCTACTGATGCAAGTTATCGACTGTGTCCATTAGTGACCAGGTGTCACCTGCACCAAGAAGAAACAGCCGGTGAGAACGGACATGTGTGAGTGGGCATCTGCCCCGAACAGGCAATATGTCCCAGACAGCAAAGAACTGAGCCCCGAACAACCCTACGGAAGCAGCATACCCCTAGGATTTGAAAACCTAAGTGCAAACGTTAAACACCGATGTTACGAGGGGGTGCAGGGTGACCCTCTCCCCTGAGGCTGCACCGAACATGCAGGGAGCTGGGAGCTGACCTCTCAGCCCTGGCTACGCCGTTAAAAGTGCGAATCACAAGGGATTTGGAATGGGGGGTGCCGGGGCTGCAGGGGGCAGAGACCCCACTCGGTCCAGGGAAGCGTGTCATTAACGAATAAACAAACCCTTTGTTGATGTTTCCCAGAAGTCATTTTCCCCAAATAAAATGCCCTTACCGATAAGCTTCCTGAGGAGGCTCCACGGCATAGAGGTTCCCATCAAGGAGTGAGGCAGCTCCCACGTGTGCTGGATGATTTTTCCCCTTACGTAGAGGCTCCCAGGGGGTCAGCTCCACTGGGAAAGGTCAAAGAGCTCAGGGCCACACAGCTCCCTGCAGCTTGGGTTTGGAGTGTGAATCCCCTGGAGAATAAGGAAGGCTGTGGAGATGAGGTCTGTGCAGGTGCCTGGGTTTGGAAGCATCAGACCCTCTGCTGCAGTGTCCTGTGCTGCCTCCCCCAGCTCCCGGTGACCTGTGCCACCGAGAGCTGGCCTCGGAGATAGAGGGCAGGAGGTCCACCCTGGAACCTGAGGCGTGAGCCCCTCCAACGACTGTAAGCATCTCCTTCCTTGGGTGGAAATCTGCCTCTTGAAGCATCTGAGGGGACTGGTTTCCTGCCTTGAACTACGATAGACTCCTCGGTGGCATGGGATTGCACATCCTCAGAGAAAATGGCTTCCGATCTGCTGTCTGAATTACTTAAGCAAGCACTCGGATCATGCTAGAGCCTAGAAAAACCGCACAGCGGTTTCACTTGGGTAAAACCTCATGGAGAAGTTCTCTTTTACAACACAGTTCATACTGAGGCAGTTTACGTACGGAGAAGTCACCCACGGTACGAGTACAATTCAATGATTTTCAGTAAACTTGCAGAGCTGTGCAACTGTCGCCACACTCCAATTATCAATTATTTTTCAAACATTTTCATCACCCCAAACCAAAAAGTTCCCTTGTGCCCATTTGCAGCCAATCCTTGCTCCCACACACGCAGCCCGAAGCAACTATTGATATTCTTTCTGTCACCATAGATTTGCTGTTTCTGCACGTTTTACATGAACGGAATCACACAGTATGAAATCTTCCACATGTGTCTTCTTTCGCCAAGCATGACGTTGTTGACATTCATCTGCGCTGTGGCATGTGGTGGTACCGTGTTTCCTTTACCCTGAATAGCACTCTGTTGTACGACTATTCCACACTCTTTGTCCAGGCACCAGTTAGCGAACATTTGGGTTGTTTCCAGTCTCTTATGAAAAACGCCACTTGGGCACTGTCCTACACGTTCTTGTGTGGCACGTATTTTCATTTCTCTTGGGTACCATATTCGCCTGCTCAGGCTCCTGTGACAGCTTCCACAGAATCAGTGGCTTATAAACAACAGACACTTACCTCTTGCAGTTCTGGGGGCCAGAAGTCTAAGATCAGGGTGCCGGCAACCGTGGTGTCTGATGGGGACCCGCTTCCTGGTTCATAGATGACGGTCTTCTCACTGTGGCCTCACGGGACAGAAGGGGTGAGGGAGCAAACTGGGGTCCCTTTTGCAAGAGCACTTGCAGTATCACTGATCCCCTTCTTGAGAGCTCTAGCTCACAACCATCACCTTGGGAGTCTGGAGTTCCACGTATGAATGTGGGCAGGACGCAAACATTCAGACCATAGCAGGTATGGACCTAGGAGGGGAATCTCCGGATCCCACGGCGACAGACATCGTTCTTCTTCATTCTGAAGAACCACCAAGTGTTTTCCAAAGCAGCTGCTCCATTTTGCATTCTCGCCAGCAATGAATGAGGGTCTCGATTTCTCCACATCCTTGTCGTCGCTTGTGGTTTTCTACCTCTTTGATGAGAGCCATGTTAGTGGATGCAATTTCTCACTGTGATTTTGATAGTATTAACCTTAATGACTAACGATATCGAACACTTTTTCATGTATTTATTAGCCATTTTATACATCTTCTTTGGTGAAATAGCTGTTTATATCTTTTTCCCATTTTTAAATTGGATTGTCTTTGTATTGAGTTCTAAAGGCTCTTTAGGTATCCTGGATTCAAGTCCTTTGCAGGATACATAATTTGTAGATAAATTTTCCCAGT